AAAAAAAAAAAAAAAAAAAAAAAAAAAAAAAAACAATCAAAGCATCATCTATAAACAACAAAAAATATTGTTTTGGTGAGGGGGGAAAAAAAAAGAAAGAGAAAAAAAAAACTCATTTTGCATTTTGCTGCATTCGAAAAACTGTGCAATTTATCATTTAGACCTCGAACATTCTCTTTTAAAGCAAAACTGATGTAATTTCCTTCATGTTTCAGGCTTTTTGACTCCTCTGGGGTAAAAGGACCCCTTTCACAACTGGGGTCCGTACAAGTAAAAGAGTGAGGGCCAAATATGAGAAAGAGCATCTTAGATCAAACTCAGCAGTTAAGTGGCTCGAAAATCCAGGAAGAGCTGTAGCTTCTGCAGAAGCAGCTCGCGGCTACCAAATAGAGGCTTACCCGCAATGATCCAATCCTTCTCCAGAAGACCTACTTTAGCACTAGCCACCATTTCACCGTGGAAAGCAGACACTACCTGGTATATTGAGGTCTTCAGAACATCAGCAATGGCGTAGGCTTTGGAATGTACAGGGCCACCTCTCTTTTTGCGCATGCCAATGTCTGTTCTTCTCATGCTTGATGTCGCCCATTTTATACCCGCTGGTCCCATCAAGTTATTCGGAGACTGCACGTTGATATTCTTCCCCATGAACGATTCGACGACAAGAAGACAAGAAACTAGCGTTGAGACCACAGCTGCATTACTACCGGAGAGCTGAGCTATGCCAAACCTATCCTCCTCGTGAGAGCATGCGGTCAGTGAGGCGGTAATTCTGGCACACCATGTATATAGCTGCATATGAGAGAACATTAGACTATTCAAGCAGTATCAGTACACATATTTGCCTGATTTCGGGGAACTCAAGTTTAGTACACTAATTAGTGTATTCATAAAGATGGGAACACCACTTTACCGAAAATATGCAGCAGACAATTTTTTTCATCATAGAAGTTTAGGAAGTTCCCAGGTTTTATCAATTTATACGGATTAATAAAACAAATATACGAGCTTGAAAAGAGATGCCAGCCCACAAGAGCAGTTTACTAGAGTACTTATTTACCTGGAAATCGTTTAGCAGTTCGGAACAATTCGGATCTGGTTTTATGTCGGTTGGAGAACGCAACTGATTTGATAATTGGGAATTTTTGTCACTAGAACTATCCAAAGCTTCACCCAGTTTAGACGCAAGCTGCTCCAGAGGCCTCAAGCCGACTGCTATCACTCTTTTGTAAGTCTCGCCACTTTCTTCGAAAAAGGCAGCCCTCCGCCACACATCAACATTATTCTCACAAACCATGCAGAGATCGACGTATGCAAGATACCAAAGAAGAGAACCTGGGTTGCTCTCCTCCAACGCAGCAAGGAGAGACTCACTTGGATTTGTTTCAGCTGCAGCTGATCCTTTTGGTGGTGCAAATATAAACCTCTTTGTATGCAACACCTAATACACAAGAAAATATAAGACAACATTTGAGAAGAAAAACAACTCCTCTCAAAAACCTGGTGGCCTTGCAGCTTGCAAGGAAAGGAAGAAGAGACATAATGAATTATAATGCAACACAATATCCAATGTGTAACAATAGCTAAAAACCACCATCCATCAAGAAAATTCTCCTTTTTTTCACAGAAAATCAAAAGATTCTTTGACAAAAATTAATAAGATGATAAAGCAGTAGGTACGACTGCCAGACCAACATGCTTGCAAATGCATGACCAGCATGCAGGTGTTCTCCCGCTATTATATGCAACCAAATGAGCCACCAAACTTAACCAACAGGTTAGGAATCGGGATTTAAGGATATTCTCTAAACTTCCTAATAGTAAAGGAGCAATAGCATACAACATGAATCAAATTATTTACGTTAGTCAGAACCTTTTATCTAATCCACGTTATTAACTACCAAGTATTACATAACTGCAGCATGAACAAGAAGAAAATAAAATGTGGTCATTATCGCAAAAGTGTGGTCACAAAATGGCATATACCATATGCTAGACGCATCTAAACACGACTGCACAATCACTCGAACAAACAAGACTTATTACCATAATACATGGCACACACAAAATCATATGTCCTGGAAAACATTGACACAGGTTACTCTTATTCCTCTACCTCTCATTGAAACTTTGACCATCACAAATCACAATTTTTGACCTGTGATAGAACCTATTAAATAATACTTCATATCAGTCTTTCATATTCAGTTGAAACAAATAAACATGCCAAGATTTCATTGTATCGTATCGTAGATATGTGTCGAGAAAGTGTCACAAAATACTACAAATAAAACAAGTAAATAAATAGTAATGTCCTATATAATAAATATGGACATAAATCGGGAAATTCACATGACATGTAGTAGTCAAGAGTAATCTCTAAGGAGAGCAAAGATCCCCGTAATATCTCTACTATGTTAACATATACACCAAGTAAATACAAAATAGGAAAGTAGCATCACACAAAAAATATTCTTGCCCAGTGCTGAATTCGATCAAATAGTCAGAAATCTAACCAAAAGAATGCCACAAGTGGAAGACAAAATAGTGACAAGAACAATATTAGAACTTTATTCAATACTATTTGCACACATTCTTAATGCTGCTTCCAAGGACTGAACATCCCAGCTAAAAAGAAATGGATGAAGCGATTAAGAAAACAGCTAATTGTTGGGATTATAGTCCTATAGTTCAAGTTAAAGCAGGGTGAGCACAGAATAAACAAACAGGTGTTATCCATAGTTTATTTTACTATAGTTTCAAAAAGATCAACAAATATTGCAGAATTTAACTCTTCAGTGAACCCAAAAAAAAAAAAAAAAAAAAAAAAAAAAAAAAAAAAAAACCTGCTATAGAAACAAAAAGTAGCAACTGAGTTCATGTGCTTGGAGAACCAACCCAATGCAAGTGATGACTTAATTCCCAACTGAGAAACACCGCAAAACTTCCCAGGTAAAATAGGACTTGCTCAGCAATGAATTTTCCCACTGTAACGTGACTAGCAAATTGATCTGGTAGAAGTACCATGAGGGCAGTAGATAGGAGGTAAGCAGCACCTGAAAGCTTTAAAGCTCGAGTAGTAGCTGGTGGGAGCCCCATCTTAAAGCTGAAGAAAGGTGGGCGCTGTTGATACAAACAATTAAAATTATCATCCATAATCCTGGTGGAGGACAAGAAAAGGCACCAAGAATATTAAACAAACAACGTATAATTACAAATAAAACTCAAGCTAAAACATTGTTCACACAATCAATCACTTTCTAAAGCTAAAAATCTTGTTAAAACGATTTTTCCCCGATTGCAAAACGAAGCAACACCCACAAAATAGAAGTTTCAGGAATTTCAAAATCAACACATGATCTGAATCCATTTCATCTCCTCTAGTAAAATAAATAAAATAAAAAACTTCCTAAATCTAACTAAGAAGTACAATTGCAGTCCACTAAGGTGGGCACTCCTAGCCTTGGGGTATATACATGTGAAAACACCTACTTACTGTAACATATTTTAGTTTATTGCATCTAATGTACGATTTGAAAATGTTCAAAAAACTTATTTAAGCTCCTCTCGATTCCAGCACTCAGTCATAGTAACAGATTCTATTCAAAACGCAAATGTTGCTTCCCTAGTTCTAAAAGGGGGAAAAATTATCAACATCGCAGATAGAATGCCATAGTTCCTACACTTCAAACCACTTGCTGAACTTCATAAACAAAGAATTGGCACTACAATGCAAAACACATTGAGGGTATATAATATAAATACAATTGGACTGAAGACTGAGGGGAATGGCAACAAAACAATTGAGGCCGCCTAAAGGACCCAACTGGACAGACATTCATTACATCTTACTCTTAGCAAATGGCTAATGAGACGATCAAACGATATATTTAAGAATTTCTAAATGAATCCAAGATAAAACATAACAAACAACAAGACTCAAAAAAAAAAGTTAAAATAAAATCCATTTCCCTCGATATATACCTAACTACTCTCATATCTTTAGCATAAATGTTCAAGAACTCATTTAAGCTTTTCTACATATTGGTATACTTAACACTAACAATCCCTATAATTCTACTCAAATCCCAAATTCTCTACTTCCCTTAATATACAACTAACCACTCTCATATCTTCAGCCAAAAATGCCAATAACCCATTTAAGCTCCTTTACATGGTAGTATTTAAGAACAATAACAATCCCTACTACTCTATTCAGATTTCAAATCCAAAAACAAAAATCAATCCACTATATCAAATACCATAATTTATGAACTTCAGAAACAGAAAAGTAACACCAACAAGGGGAAAAAAAATCAAACGAAAACAAATAAATAGAATACAAGACTGAAAACTGACCTGAATGATGGGAAACTCCAAGACCCAACGGCGATTATACACATAATGCAGTCCATAGAGCAAACCCATAACGAAACCCCTAAAGCCCACTCTCCCAACCAATCCATCATCCGACTCTCCGAGCGGCCCCACCACACAGACCGATGCGGACGCCACGAGCCCCGACGCCGCTGCAGCCAAAACAAACAGAAAGAATCCGAGGGAAACCCTGGCCCGGCGGCGAAACTCCGGCGATCCGGGCTCGCCGGAGACGAGGAGTCTGAGGAAGGCGATGAAGAGACGGAGCGGGTGGGCGGGGCGGAGGGGCCAGGGAGAGGAGACGAGGGAGAGGAAGGCGGAGAAGAGGAGGTGAGAGAGGTGGAAAGTGAGGAAGGTGATTGTGGCGGTGAGGGGGGAGGGTTTGGGGGAGAGGGAAGAGAGGAAGGTTTTGGAGAAGAGGAAAATGGCGGTGGAAGGGATGGACTGCCATATCAGGAACCCTAGGAAGCGGTTCTTGACCACCATTTCTGGCGGTGATGAAACTACTGCCGACATTTCTGAGAGGTTTTTTGGGTTTGGGGTTTTGGGGGGGTTTTTTGTTTCTTTCAGACAAACGTATTGGGCCGGCGTGTCTCTGTGTGTTTTGAATGGGGTGAGGGACGAAGGAGCGAGAGAGACGGCAAAGATGTTTGTAATTGACACCTATAGTCCCTAACTTCTTTAGTAAGTAGTAGTTTAGTCCCTATTTTCTTAATTTTGACAAAATAATCTCTAATGTCATTAAATTAGTATATAGATCCAAAATCATGATTCTATATTATATTTCAGAATCAGTGTTTGTTTACAATAATTCTAAATCATGATTCAGAATCAGTGTTTAGTTTGGATGATTCTGAATCATGATATGTGATATTTTAAACTAAAATCACTCATGATTCTAAAACCACATTCCTCTTAATTCAAGATAATTCAAACTCTAATTCTAAATCATGATTTTAGAATCATGATTTAAACACAAAATCATGAATCATAATTTTAATTCTAAAATTATGATTAAAATCACTCTGATTTAAATTTTCATACCAAACAAATTATATATTTAGTATGAAGATTCATGTCATAATTCAAATTATAATTTATGACACACTATAATATTTTTTTTCACAAAAAATACATCTAAATTAAAAATAATTTTAAATTATAATTCTAAATACGTAAAATAAACGTCTATTAAGTCATTTTTTATAGATTTGTTAAATTACCTACGTTAAAAGCGACCCACCCCAAAAAGATGAAATTGCCCTAAATTCGTGTTTGAGCTGGAAAACTCTGAAAATAATTTAAAAGATTAATATATCTTAAAAAGGGAAATGGTAAATTAAAATAAAAACGAAAAAGAAACAAAACTGTTCTTACTTCTTCTAAGTTCTACCTCAATCCAAATAATAAAACTAGAAAAACTCCAATAAGACAGATCAAATTGAAGCACCAACACCAGAGCTCAAATTGAAGCACCAACACAAATTGAAGATGAGAACTTCAACAACACAAATCGCCAACATAAATATTATTAAAACATTTAAACTATGGAAAAAAAAACAAGAAGAAAATAAATCTGGATTTGAAAACATCTCGGCATCTCTTTCTTTTATTCACACCCTCTTCCTTCCCTCGGCGCCAAACCCCACTTCAGATCAGTGCCCACATCACGCCACCTCCAGCCCACCGTTCATCCCTACCCCCATGAGGGTGCCTAGACCCTGCTGCCCCTCCACCATCGCAGATCTTATTGCGAAAACAAAATCACAAAACCAATATCACACAACTAGAACCCAAATCCTAAGGCGGTGGCGGCGTTTGAGAGGCGACGACGAGCGGCGCAATGGGGGCAGAAAAACGACGGCTGGTGCGGGTCTTGAGGAAACCAGGTTGCGATGAGGGTGGGGCAGGAGGGGAGGGGGTGGCAGAGTAGGGTTGATCGGCGGAATCCGAGCACCAAGTCCGCAGCGTGGAGGCAGAGGGTGGTCGTAGAGAGTGCGAGAAGATAGGAGAGATATTGAGTTTGTCAAGGAGGAGAGGGAGAGAGAGATTGAGTTTGTCAAGGAGGAGAGAGAGAGAGATTTTTAGTTTTCAATTCATTTTCTATATTTTATTATGTTTTTTAAAATATTTATTTTACTTGAAACGTGGGTAATTTAACAAATTTAGACCGAAAGGACTTAATTACACTAATTTAATGATATTGAGAATTATTTTGTCAAAATTAAAAGAATAAAAATTGACCTATCACCCATTAAAAAAGTTAGGGATCATCTCTGCCAATTACTTTTTTTTTGTTAAATCTCACAAACTTTTTCTCAATTTCATTCCTAAGCACATTTTAATTCTCGACTTTTAAAATGTCTCAAACTTGATCAGTAATTGATAGATTTATTTCAATTTTAATCCTTTTTCTCGATTGAATGTTAAAAATAACACGAAATATACGTGTGATTCTGATAGAATAAGAAAATGCACTCGATTCTAACGGAAAATTATAAAATAATGTTGTGTTAAATGAATTTTATTTATATTTTGTTATGTTTTTAACACTAAATTGATGAAAAGTACAAAACTCAAGCAAACTGCAAAATTAGGGGTTTTTGGACATTTTAAAAGTTAAAGAACAAAGTTTAAAAACAAAATTTAAGGATAAATGATAACGGTTGTCTCACCTTACTCCTTATAATTGAAAATAATCTAAAATTCCCCTGTAAATTTATAATAAATTGCAACTTTTATTTTTTTCATTATTGAGATGTTAATTTTTTAACAATTCGAATCATGTGTTGTCACATGAAGGTATGAAAGAAAAAGTATAATAAATTTAAATAAAAACATGATTTTAAAAGGTGAAGAAAAAAATAACAAGTTTTTTCTAAGAACATTTCTAATGCAATGCTATAATTAATGTGTCAATTACAAATTTAATATTTGAGTGTAAAAAACACTCTCCAATGCAATGCTATCATTGTGTCAAATTTTCCATATATCATACTTTGTGACAAATTTTCCACCAACTATAACATATGAAAAATTTAACATTTGATTACTATTGATTGAAATGATTACTTTTTCCATGTAATCAATACAACTTTTGTATTTTTTAATTATTTTAAAAATCAAAGTTTACTTTTACAATTTTGTGTTTGGTAGGGTGGAAAAGAGAGATGAAAGAAAATAGATGAAGGATTTTAGAGAGGAAAATGGAATTTTAGGTTGTTTGGTAGAGAGAAAATGAGGAATGAAGGAAAATAAAAATCTCTGAGGCTCACTAATTTTTAATCCTTCCGACTTTGGGAAGAAAATAGGAGGAAAAAGTTAGACAAACAAATTAGGTGTAAAATAATAATTTTAACATTCATCATTCATCATATTTTTATTTGTATTGGAGTATTATTGTAAAATACCTTATATTTAATATATTTTTTCACTTTTCTTTCTTTTCTACCAAACAACATGAGAGAAAATCATTTTACTTTCTTCATCTATGTATTGCACTTCTCCTTCCTTCATCTTTTCTATCCATCCTATCAAACATAATATATTAATAATTATAAGAAAAATAAATTTAACATTTCAAATAAAATTATGCATTAGAATAAAAATGAAAATAACATATTATATTATTATTTTTTATGCATATATAATTGTACGCATTTGCATTAGACGCTAAATATAAAGTGTCGCTCCTCCTTTGTTCACTACTTTGTTCATAATCCTCACATTACGTTATTCTTCTTTATTGTTATTTAGACTTTCACATGACCCATCATTAAATTAAAAAATTATGACTCATTGATAAAAATACCAAAGTCTACATCAAACAAAACTTCGTCCGTTACTTCTCAAAGATTATAATGTTACTCTTGCAATAATAATAAAGGGGTTATCAGTTTTAATCCTGTAAAATTGAGCCGTTTTTAAGGGAAAAAAAATTAATAAAAAAAAGTATACTTAACAGTTTACACACAAGATTGTTAAGAAAATTAACACACCAAGAAACAAGGATACATGATATATTACAAAATAACCAAATGCCGTGGTTCCTAGATACATACTATTAACAACAAATTATCTGAAATTCAAAAAAATCAACAAACAAGACACCAACATTAAAAAAAAAAAAATCATGTCAGATGCAATTTTGCTTCTTCAAACAAACGACCCTGTTCTTGAGACTTGGGATAAAGCATCTTCAAATTGATCATCATCACTCTTCTCATAGTTCAAGCTTGGTGGGATGAAGGATCTGAAAACTTGCTCCAAGTTGGGAGTCTCCTTTGATTCTTGCGCCACGACTTCAAGAGCCGTGTCGTGGAAGGCACGATAGAATTTCTTGTTGCAGATGAAGGCAAAGATCAATGACAGGATGGGAAGCGAAATGAGTATTGGTGAATAGTAGAACTTCTTCACCCCTAAGTAACCAAACATGGTAACTTGATACAATATAAGAGCAGCAATTATGCGCACGTGAATGTGAGGCCATAACCTTCCATAGCTTTCATATGATGGAACATACACATTGAGAGCCTGCAAACATAAGATGTAGTAGCCATTTGAAGGGAAAATGAAAGAAAAGAGAATAAAATCTAAACTGTAAAAAGGCAAAGATGATTCTCTGTTTGTGCACTTGAGCAGTAACTCTGTTTTATGACAAAAAAAGCATCAAAGAAAATAATAAATTAAATAAATTAAATGATTTTCAGGGCCAAATATTGACCTTCTGCCCTAAACTGTCAGAGTCATTTTCCTAAGGATTAAGCACTTCATTCGTTTTGCCTACAATTGTTCAATATAATCGCAAATACTACAATTCGGGTACCCTAATTTTACGTATATTGTATCGTGCTGGTTTTGGGAGTAGCGTTAGATACATATACTGGGAGACATAAGGTGTGTGATTCTGAAAGTGGATGTAGGTCTCATATTGAGGGTGTAGTTACCGTAGAAATCTTGTATTAATGTTTGTTTGCTTCTTTTTTTTTTTTTTTTCCTTAAATTTTATTGCTCGAATTAGTAAAGAACTAGGAATGCTTAATCCGTACAATAAACAATTGAGGAAGTGAGGAACAAAACAAGGCCTTGTGCTTCCCTTGTTCTTTTGCTTGAAAATTGAAAAATGCTATGCTAAGGTGGTGAAAGTGGTTATTTGGAAGACAGATTCTTCAAGCTCTAATTGTTGACGCTATTAAAACAAAACACCAGTGGGGATAAACCAGCAAGTCCAGTTGATAGGCATTACCTGATTACGAAGGATAAGCCATCCAAGGCCGAAATACGCCACTCCGAATGGAATAACTAGTGGGGCAATGACAGAGTAGCATAGGACAATGGTGATGATAAGCATGTCGCCAGGAATTCTGGTCCCATATCCAAGGGCCCCTGGAGTCCAAGCATCCTTTACCTCTTCTTCTGTCTTGCAAAGATATTTTCTCTTGATATGGAAGATAATGAGAGGAACTATGCGGGACAGTTCAAGCCCATAGCCGACGAAAAACCTGAGGCCAAATAAAATTATAAAAAAAAATATTGTACAAAATCAATAACTAAAAAAGAGAGAGGTCTACTATGAAAAGGGAAAATATATGATTTTAAGAACTCTCTTAAAAACTAACCAAACCAAAAAAATAAGAAAAGACGTAAAGAATTGGGGTTATTACACAAAGTGATGTAGAACAGTTAAGAAAAAAGAGAATAGACAAATAAAGTGGGAGAAACAGAAGAAGAATTAGAGAGAAGAAGAGAGAATTTAGAATTTATATATAGAAGTGAGCAACAGAGAGAGAAATATATTTCAAAATATTATTATCTCAAAACAATGAACAGATAGAGGCTTGTCTATGGATGTATACAAAAAACCTAATAAGAATAGGAATAGGAAACTAAAACGATTGTCATTAATAGGAAACTTATTGAAATAGTTTTGAGAAAACTTATTAAACTAAATTAAGTTTAAAACTACTTTCTACTTTTTTTCCTCATCACAAAAGGTGAGATGTGATTGCCTATTTGTTGAAGAAAATCCTAAAGCAATTTCAAATAATTCAAACCAATATGGAAAGGGAAATGAAAAATACGAACGAAGACTGTCTTCTTACTTGAGAGCCACAAAGGTGAGGAAAAAGGCTGCATTTTCTGGGATGCTATTTGCCAGTATATCAACAGCGGATTTTGGCTCCTTCTGAATGCTCTTGAATGTACTGAACAATGTTCCAGCAACTGTAACTCCAATAAACACATTCAACACCGAGAAATAGAAATATTTCCCTGAAGCAGCCCTTACCGCATGGCTCTCGGAAGGAATTCCTTCTGCCTTGGATAGAAACAATAGAAACTTGGGCAACAATGCCAAGAAGACAATGAGCGCGAGCTGCGGGAGATAGGCTTCCAGCACTGTCCTTACTGCTTCCTCATCCAATACTACCTTTAAAAATGGGAGAAGTTTCCTCAAGTTCTTTAATGTCGTGAATGCAGAGATAATCCCAATAGGAATCATGTAGAAGAATATGGTAAGAGCCACGATAATGTACACGACATACTGCCGCACTTGCCTCTCAAAGAACTTGATTTTAAGATTAGACCATAATAGTTGACGAGGCTCAGGAGCATCGATGGCCGTCCATGTGTCGACCTTTTGGGCATGTAGACTCTGAGCTGCAGAGGCTGCAGCCACTCTGCTGGTGAAGAAAACCAGCGCAGCAGACAAGTGCTTCTCCCTTAGAGTACTTTTTTGTTCAGATTCCAGTTTTGGGATTAGTTCATTGATTTTTTCGTTGTAAAATTCTATGCTATCTACTCTCTTTCCAATTAAACCAAGACAGCCAGTTTTGTGAGTGGGTCTGGTTCCTTCTGGCTTGCCTGTTGCTTTTGAATTGGCATATATTGCTTCGGCACGTGTGAGCTTCTTCTTGTACCCTTCTAACTCTTGGTAAATTTTGTTCACCTGTAAGAAATAAAGTCACCATAAGTGGAAAGAAACAAAAATCCTATGCAGGGTACATAAATCTAAAGAGCATCTGCAAATTCAAAGGCAAATTTCTATGAAAATGCCAAAGTCATTGGGTAACAAAAGCATTTTCCAATGCAAATGCAATTCTTAATGTCAAATCATATGACTTGGTGCCAAATGCCAAGTTTTAGCATTTCGCTTCTTTTCATAGTTGCAAACCCTAAAAATTTATGACAACAAGTAGATCTAGCATCTAAAATAGCATTATGTATTGGAGTATAAGAACAAAACATTCCAAATATGTTACTTATATACACTTTTGTGCCAAATATAACACTGGCATTGGAATAGCACTGGCAAATCAAGACCTTTAAAAAGTAAAGTTGAAACAAGAATATAATTGGGGGGAAAAAAAGACAGGAAACAAAAACTAAGACAACTAAGAACATAACACAATTACTAATGTGCAAGTTGTACCATTCAAGGCAGAAAAAGAAAATGTGAACAATATAATCGCAAATGAAAAACATACCACTTTATTGTCTGTGACCAGCATCGATCTGTAAAATGTGTCGGGGTAGATGTTTTGAAAGTACGAATCGACCTGTTCTTTTCTGGTTTGACCTTCGGGGACAGAAGGAATGTCTCTTACGAGAATCGCATATTGTTCGGGCTTCACGTTGGGAGACGTCAATGCATTAGCTCTCAGAGCAGAAACATGCTTGTATGCCTTCCATAACAGGAAATAAGTAACAAAGGAAACCCAGTAGACAGCTAGGAAAAAAGCCCATAACCTTGAGCTCTCTTTCTTCATAAACAAAAATATAAATACAATTAGAAAATTGACCACATAGCTTACTAACAAAAACAAACAGAAGGTTTTGTGAGCTAAATTAGAAATATAAGAGGAAATGTCATTAACACCACTAGCTCAAAATGCAAGAAAATCTCTGCAGCTCAACCCACCTATCTTAGCTATAAGTGGAGATACAAGAAGAATAAATAAATAATTAATTAAGTACATGAAAGAAAATTTACCTAGCCAAAAAAAAAAAAAAAAAATATATATATATATATATATATATAAAAAAAAAA